TACTTCGTTTTTTGGCAGGCGGTACTTCTTCGCCGGTACTGCAATATGGCGGTACTTTTTAGGCGGTAGGCGGTATTTCGTTTTTCGGCGGTACCGCCGTCGGCGGTTGCCGGTACCACCGAATGTGGCGGTAATTACCGCCAGTACCGGGACCGCCCACCACGGCGGGAAAAAAACGGCGGGAATTTTCCCGAGGTGTTGTACCCTGAATATGCTTTGCCCGAGCTTTCCCAACTGCTACCTTTCTTTTCAATCCGTTGTCGGTGCGTCGAGTTACGAAGGCATCTGCGCCGAACTTGAAGTCGGGAAGCAAGCGTCCCCGCCCAAAAACCGAGGCAGGCGATTTCTTTTTGGTTCTCCCTGCTGCTGTGTGCTCGGCAGGTACACTGCCGCTGCTGTGGCAAGACCCACTTCACAGAGACAGGGAACACGGACAAGGGGGGCGGGAGTCACACACACACCACCGGGAGAGCGAGGCGGGTGTGCCCTAACTGCTGTTAGCTGTAGGCGGAGGAAGCAAGAGAGGAGAGAAGAAGCGTTTGGTTGTGTTGGTGTGCGTTTTGACTAGAGTTTTTGGTCATCAGCGAGAGAGATGATGAGGACAGAGAGAGAGGCACACACCAACACGCTGAACACCATTTACATTGATAACGCATGAACTGCTATAAACCTATAGGGTGCCACCTGTGCCTTCCGTGTTAGTCTGGTCACCGACCACACGAACCAGAGAGAGAGGAGAGGATGTTTTTTGCTCTAGCTGATGATAAACCCCCCCCCCCCGGAAGGGAGTAAAAAGTAGGGGACATGGAAACTTCGGTGTCAGGAATTTGAATGCTGTTTGCGGATGATTTTGTTGGTATTGTCGGACACCCCTGAGGGACTGCAACTATCTACAAATTGACGCGGCGAAGAATTTTACTGATAAATGGAGATTGTCTGCCAACGTAGAGTGCCGTCATGGTGTGCCACGAGGTCAGGGAGGAACCAGTAGAACATAGATGGAAGTGGGGGATCGAGGATAATGCAGTAGTGGACCAGTACACATACATACCTCGGAGTAGAGATCGCAAACGACTGTTCGTGCAATGCACACATAGTCTACATGTCCAAGGTAGCGGAAAAAGGCAAAGCACGAGCAGCGAAGATGCACCCAATACTCGCAAACCGGCACCTCGATACACGCATCAAATTGGCGGTTTTGAAGAGCGTAATCGTACCGCCGCTAGAGTACGCCGGAGAAGTATGGGAAGGAAATAAGAAGGTAGTGAAAGAACTCGAGGCGGCGCAGATGAAAGCAGCGAAAATCATCCTAGGATGCTCCAAGCGCACAACAAGTAATGCAGCCGTCAGGGCAGAATTGGGGATCCAATCCCTACGGTCGGGAAGGGACGCAAGGAAGCTGACATGGCAGTATCGCATGTGCCGGATGGGAGAGGAGAGGTTGCCGAGAATAGTATGGGAGGCGAAGTGTAATCGCGGAACTAGACCATCCGGCTAGTCAGCGCTGACTAGCCGGATGGTCTA